CTTTAAGTATATTTATTATTGAATGTCTATATGTATATATATATATATAGTGGTCCTGGCATTGTACAAATTGTACATTTAGCCACATTTAATCCGAATAAAAGTTGCATTACATAACAAAATATTTAACCAAGTGAAATTTATCTTAAAGATAGTGCAAATAGACTTTTAAACAAACAGGTCAAAAAGGTCTGTTAAGTTTTAAATAAAAAAATATCATAAACACATATACTGTGCATCAGAAGCTGCATGATCAGTGGTCAGGTGCAAAACGGGTTGTGACATGTATGTGCATGCTGAAAGACAAAAAACTTCACTATGCAGTCTTTATTTTAAAAACACTACCTAAGTGAATCTGTATTTTCTATTAAAACAGATCAACTCAGTTTCACCATGAAATGTTATTTGTGTTAAGGAATTTTAGTAGCCCTTGCCCAGAGTTACCATTTTCCATAAGGGTATCTATGGTGCAAAATTAGCTATTATTTAATCCTCAGCCATGTCATATGTACTAATCCTATGTCATATGCATATCATTTGCTTTAGAAGCAATTCACACCGAACACGCTTTTACTTTGAAAAAGAAATGGGGGAAACCGCAAAGTCTCGCCACATGTTTTATGTCCGTCTAGCATGTGTTTATATTGTAAAATAACTGAAAAGTGGAATGGAAAAACGTGTTGTATGTGAACAGCCGCTTAATCTCACTCTAAACAACAACAAACCCATGTGCCAACTGCAGTGACATCAGATCAGTGAGCACAATCAATCATTTCCTTTACTAAGATGCCAAATACAAACCAATTTGGAGAGGAAATGGCCTTTTACTTCTGAAAACGCAAATTAACATCCATCCCATTCTTACACCAGTCACCACTGACCACAATACAGGAACGTCTGATCACAAAGTCAACAATGAAAGGCATTGAGTGTGGAAATAATGGCACATCTGTGTGTCGGGCGAGATGTGCCATCCAGCTGCTGGCAGGTAAACAGAGACGAGCCTGTCCCGCCGCAGCATGTGATGCCAGGAAGCATATAAAAAGACCAGCCGGAAAATGTGTGATTCAATGCGCACACTACCATTTAGCACTTTGTTTCAATTTGTTCAGCATCCACCTCCTTCATCCGAGATGAGAACTGGTGTACCCATAATCCTCTTTGTTGCAGTGGCAGGTTTCCACAGTGGTAAGATTACAACACAACATCACACATTCGTAATGCCAGTTTTGAAACAAAAGTGTCTCTTGTTATTTTTTTTAATTAGAATAAAACTATATCATTATTTATTATATTTTTATTAATATTATAATATGATGTTTATATTATTCATATTGAATAGGTAATATATATATATATATATATATATATACACACATACACATTTTTGTGTCTTGTTATTTTAAAATTAGAATAAAACTATATTATTATATTTTTATTATTATTATTATATGATGTTCATATTATTATTAATATAGTCTATCAAATGTAAAATAATCACACCCGGAACATGTTTTTGCAACTTTTAATTTAATTTATTTAAACGTAAATTTTTTGTAAAAAAAAAAGTTACATTTTTTTATTAAGTATTATGATTTATTCAAGTTTAATATCTCTTAGGCATTGCATATTTCCATTTGTTTTGTTTTGGAATGATCTGTGCTTAGTTAACGTTAATTTTTAATGAAGAAAAGTCCTTAATAACCATTTAATTCATCCTCGATGAGTTATACATGGCCTAATAGCCAGAATTTTATACAGTATCTGCATGTGGAGTAATATGAAAACTGTGTATGACAGAAATTCAATTATACTTGTACATTTTTGTGTTTGTAGTGATTTCATTTTCTC